ACATCCTCGCAACTCTGGCCTCCAAGACGCCGCGCGAGAGGTGGTCTGGCCCGTTTCGCCTGAGACATCCTCGCAACTCTGAGCTTCGAGATGTCGCGCGCGAGGTGGTCTGGCCGTTTCGCCTGAGACATCCTCGCAACCCTGATCTTCGAGATGCCCCGCGAGAGGTGGTCTGGGCCGTTTCGCCTGTTTCACCGCAAACATCCTTGCAACTCTGGGCTCTAAGACGCCGCGCACGAGGTTGTCCGGCTCGTCTCGCCTGAGACATTCGCAGTTCTGGGCTCTAAGACGCCGCGCGCGAGGTGGTCTAGTGGGTTTCGCCTGAAACATCCTCGCAGCTCTGGGCTCCAAGACGACGCGCAAGAGGTGGTCCAGCCCGCTTCGCTTGAGACCAGCTCGCAACTCTGAGCACCATGATGCCGCGCGCAAGGTGAACCGGCGCGTTTCGACTACTAAGTAAGACATCTTCGCAACTCTGGGCTCCGAGATGTTGCGCGCAAGGTGGTCCAGCGCGATTCGCCTGAGACATCCTCGAAGCTCTGGGCTCCGAGAGGGAGGAGGGAGGAAGGAGGGGTAAGACCCAACCAGACCATTTGATTACACTTCCGTTGCCCAATTGTGCTCTGCCAGGGGTTTTGGCGCCGCTTGAGACATCCTCGCAACTCTGAGCTCACAGATGTCGCTCGCGAGGTGGTCCGGCCCGTTTCGCCTGAGACATCCTCGCAACTCTGAGCTTCGAGATGTCGCGCGCGAGGTGGTCTGGCCGTTTCGCCTGAGACATCCTCGCAACCCTGATCTTCGAGATGCCCCGCGAGAGGTGGTCTGGGCCGTTTCGCCTGTTTCACCGCAAACATCCTTGCAACTCTGGGCTCTAAGACGCCGCGCACGAGGTTGTCCGGCTCGTCTCGCCTGAGACATTCGCAGTTCTGGGCTCTAAGACGCCGCGCGCGAGGTGGTCTAGTGGGTTTCGCCTGAAACATCCTCGCAACTCTGGGCTCCAAGACGACGCGCAAGAGGTGGTCCAGCCCGCTTCGCTTGAGACAAGCTCGCAACTCTGAGCACCATGATGCCGCGCGCAAGGTGAACCGGCGCGTTTCGACTACTAAGTAAGACATCTTCGCAACTCTGGGCTCCGAGATGTTGCGCGCAAGGTGGTCCAGCGCGATTCGCCTGAGACATCCTCGAAGCTCTGGGCTCCGAGAGGGAGGAGGGAGGAAGGAGGGGTAAGACCCAACCAGACCATTTGATTACACTTCCGTTGCCCAATTGTGCTCTGCCAGGGGTTTTGGCGCCGCTTGAGACATCCTCGCAACTCTGAGCTCACAAATGTCGTTCGCGAGGTGGTCCGGCCCGTTTCGCCTGAGACATCCTCGCAACTCTGGTCTCCGAGATGCTGCTCGAGAAGTGGCCCAGCCCGTTCCGCCTGAGACATCCTCGCAACTCTGAGATCCGAGATGCCGCGCACAAGGTGGTCCTGCCTATTTCGCCTGAGACATCCTCGCAACCCTGATCTTCAACATGCCCTGCGAGAGGTGATCCGGGCCTGTTTCGCCTGAGACATTTTCGCAACTCTGGGCTCCGAAATGCAGCGCGCGAGGTGGCCCGTTTCGCCGCAGACATCCTTGCAACTCTGTGCTCCAAGACGCCGCGCGAGAAGTAGTCTGGCCCGTCTCGCCTGAGACATTCACAGTTCTGGGCTCCAAGACGCCGCGCGCGAGGAGGTCTAGTGCGTTTCGCCTGAAACATCCTCGCAGCTCTGAGCTCCACGACGACGCGCAAGAGACGTGGTCCTGCAAGTTTCGCTTGAGACCAACTCGCAACTCTTGGCACCAAGACGCCGCGCGCAAGGTGAAGCGACGCGTTTCGCCTGAGACATCTTCGCAACTCTTGGCTCTGAGATGCTGCGCGCGACGTGGTACGGCGGGATTCGCCTGCGACATCGTCCAAGCTCTGGGCTCTGAGAGGGAGGAGGGAAGAGGGAGGGGGTAAGACCCAAACAAGACATTTGATTACACTTTTATTTTCTATTACCCAATCACGCTCTGGGAGGGGTTTGGGCGCCGCTTGAGACATCCTCGCTACTCTGAGCTCACAGATGTCGCGCGCGAGGCGGTCCGGCCCGTTTCGCCTGAAACATCCTCGCAACTCTGGTCTCCGAGGGGCCGCTCGAGAAGCGGTCCGGCCTGTTCCGCTTGAGACATCCTCGCAACTCCGGGCTCCGAGAACTTGTACGCGACGTGGTCTTCGTTAGATGGAAGACATACACAACCACCAAAATCCTTCATACCCAGATATGGCAATGAATGGCTCCTGTGTTTTCCATGGTCAGGAAATGGGTTACTATGCTCCTCAACAACGTGGCCAGGATAACGTGGCCCCGACGTTAAAAATTCGCCGACCCCTTGGGGTCATCGGCGTGTGAGATGCTTCCCCTAAACCCCTCCCCCCCGAGCCCGGTCCGGTCGTTTTGGAGGGGGGGGTCCGGCCGGCCCCGGGTGAACGCACCACGGGCCTCACGACGGGCCATGAGGGCCTCAAAAGGCCCACAAGATGGTCCAGAAGGGCCCTGGAGTCACCGATGGCGTTCCAAGACGCCAAAGATAGTCCCCAGACGACCCAAGAGGTCCCCGAGACGCCCCAAGAGGCCCCCAAGAGGCGTCCCAAGAGGGCCCCCAGAAGCAACATTCGTCCCATCCACTTCGGGAAACGTATGATTTTAGTACATTCGCCACTTGGGCTTCCACAGCGTCCAAGACGGCCCAAGAGCCCTCCAAGATCTCCAAGAGGCCTTCAAGATGGCCTCAAGACTGCCCAAAAGGCCCCCAAGACGGCCCCAAAATGGCCAAAACGGCCTCTAAGACGCCCAAGGAAGCCCCCAATACGGCCCTGGAGCACCCCAAGAGGGCCCCAAGTCAGCCCAAAGAGGCCCCAAATACGGCTTCCGACGGCGTCAGACAGGCCAGGAGCCCACCAAGACGGCCCAAGATGGTTTTAAGATGGCCCAAGACGGCCCAAGAGGCCTCCAAGAGGGCCTCCAGGCAGGAAGGCCCAAAGAGGCCAAAATCATCGATGTTCCTTCTATTGTTGCAAGACGTTCGTATTTGCTTGTTTTTGCGGCCTTCCGGTGGCCCGACACGGCCCAAGAGGCCCCCAACGATCGCCCCCAAATCGCCCAACGCCTCCAAGATGGCCCCCCAAAACGGCACGGTCCCCAAGCGGGCCCCAAGACGGCCCAAGAGGCCTCCAAGACGCCCAAGATGGCCTCCAAGACGGCCTTGGAGCACCCCAGAAGCACCCCAAGAGGGCCCCAAATTGGCCCAGAAAGGTCTCCAAGACGGCTTCCGACGGCGTCAGACGGGCCAGGAGTCCACCAAGACGGCCCAAGATGGCTCTAAGGTGGCATGACGGCCCAAGAGGCCTCCAAGAGGGCTCCCAGGAAGGCCCGAAGATGTCCAAATCATGTATGTTCAGTTGGTGTTTGAAGGAGTGTGGCATTTGCTTCTTTTCGGCCCACCGACGGCCAGGTACGGCCCAAGAGCCCCCAAGAGGGCCCCAAGAGGGCCCCAAGACGGCCCAAGAGGCCTCCAAGACGCCCAAGATGGCCTCCACGACGGCCCTGGAGCATCCCAAGAGGCCACAAGTCGGCCCAGAGAGGCCCCGAAGACGGCATCGGAGGCCCCCGAGAAGCCCTCAAAGGCCCCCAAGAGGCCCAAGGAGGCCCCCAAGACGCCTCCAAGAGGCTCCCAGGAAGCTCCCAGGAAGCCCCTAAGAATGTCCCTAGAGGCTCCCAATATGATGTCCTCCTCCTCCTCCTCCTTCTCCTCCTCCTCGTCCACCTCCTCCTCTCCGCCTCCTCCTGATCTTCCCCACCATCCTCCTCCTAATGTTCCCGAAGGGTTTTCAAAATGGTTGGGAGAACACATGGTCCGATAGATTGGCAGAGCTCTTGCCACAACGCTCGGCCACATGGGCGATTCTAGAAGGCAGAGGGAGGCGGTGATTCGCCGCAGGATTCTTCAATATTGCACAACACACATTGCACCACATACATTGCACAACATACGTTTCACAATACATATTGCACCACATACATTGCGCAAAAGATATTGCACAACAGCGTGCATTGTACCTCATAGTTTGAACAGCAGAGTTTGCACTACATCGACTGCACACAAACATCTGCATCACACAGACTGCATCATAGATATTGCACCGTGTAGGTTGGACCACGTATATTGCACCACATACACTGCACCACCTGAATTGTACAACGTGGCTTGCACCACATATTTTGCACAACTGCTACTGCACAACCTACATTGCACTGCCTAGCTTGCACAACAGAGATTGCGTACCACATAGATTGCACCACGCCTATCACACTACCCATATGATGCACACCGTAGATTGAACCACATAGATTGCACAACATGTGTTGCACCACATATGTTGCATCACATTGTTTGACCCACACAAAAAATAGCACGACATAGATTGCACAACACCGGTTGCGCACCAAATATTCACCACGTAGATTGCACAACGTAGGTCGCTACACATACTCTGCACAAGACAAGTGTCTAGAAACTCTCTGTTTGGGCTCCACGTTGGCTAACATATGTCATGCCAATAGGTGTAGATCGATGCTGAAACCACGCGAGCATCGTACTACACTACACTGGAAGCGCGTCCACAAGAAACCGTCGACAAGAAACCCAACCCTGAGACCCCAGGACCTCAATTTGTTTTTGGTGCGGGAACATCAAATTTCCAATCGCAAAACTATCGAAACCCAAGGAACCCAGGGCACCATGGAGGCAAGTAGGGCGTTTCTTGGCATGGGTCTCCACTGTATGCTGAACCTCGAGAGCAGAAAGTGCCGCGGCCTCCGGGTGCCTCGCGCCGCAGACGTGCCCCGGCGCGGAGCCGAGGGGCGGGCGGCAGCAGGCGATCGCCGCTGTCGGGTCCGGCTGTCCGGCCCTCCGCGGCGCCCACGGCATGTTGGCGGGGGGCGAGAGACGGGCAGGCCGAGCGGGAGAAAGGGGAGGGGGAGGAGGGGGGGGAGAGGGAGGGGGAGAGTAGGAGGGCGAGGAGGGGGACGCGCTGGAGGAGGGGCGAGGAGTGAATGGAGGCACCAGAGCCCGCAGTATCGAGAGGGGAGATGAGAGAACTGGAGAGGAGGGGGGAGCAGGTCTGTGGCAACATCCGACGACCCTGCCCGAAAGGAACGGAAAAAAAAACCCTGGTGAGAAATATCGCAGGGCGACGAGAACTACATATATCTATAGGTATATATATATATACATATATACACATACACACACTCGAAACACGCGCGCGCGCTTCGCGTGCTGAGGTTCTAGCAGGCACCCTCCATCGACAACGGCACAAATCTACACGTGCACGAATATACGCACGGGTCGCGGATGATGTGCGACAGTAATGACAATACCATTCTCAGAGAACCAGGGAGGAAAGCCTGACCATAGGCCTCCCTCTTCCCTCTTGGCTTATCATTATGCTTACGTACCTCCTGCGGTTTTCTCAACCGTAACAGTCTCCTCCTCATCCTCCCTCTTCTCATCGTGGGGGTTTCTCCGTCGTCCTCCTCCTCCTCCTCCTCCCTCTCCGTTTCCTTTTCCTCCTCCTCATCCTCCTCCTTCTCCTCCTCATCATCGTCCTCGTCGTCGTCGTCCTCTTCCTCCTCATTCTACCCCGCCTCCTAATTACCTGGAGCTGGTTTTAAGCCGCCAAGGGAGCCCCCTGCTCCCAATCCGCGTCCGCGTCCTGCAGGATGAAGGGGGGGAGGAAGAGGAGGAGGTCACGACAGGGATCCCCTGAAACAGAATCCAAACAAAACCGAAGCACAAACACGAACACGCAAAAACAAAGCGCATACCAAAAAACAATGCCGAAGTGTGCGTGGTATTGTTATTCGTTGTGTTGCAACACCTCTTGTACATTGAATGAAGCTGTAAGTGAGCTCTTCTGTTGTCAGGAAGCCACAGTTATGAGATGATGGGGGGGAGAGGGAGGAGGAGGAATAAGAAGAGGAAGAGGAGGAGGATGTCTGGGCGCATCCATGCACAACCCTGGGAACGCATTAGCGAGACCTCCGGCTTCATTCATTACATTACCAACATCTGGAATCAATTCTGGAGGGGGAGTCCGCCGAAATTGTCCCCCCGAGATATGTCAGCACACCAAACAATTACTCAATTCACGCGGGGGGGGGGGAACGGGCGCGGGATCGTGGCCCTGGGATTGCCCAGGCACGCTATTTCCAATGGGTCGTGACCCTGGGAACGCGGGCGCCGTGCAATTTGCAAGGATCGTGTCTTAGGGACGCGGACGCAGCGCTATTTACGAGGGACCCTTCAGCAGCCTGCAGGAACTCTTCCGGATCATGAAACTTCTCCCAACAATTTGCCAATATCACCGGCTGTGAAGAAACACGCGGGAAGCCGTTTTGGAAATATGGGGGAACCTTTGGGAACCCTCACAAATCCTCTCGGAGTCGGCAACAACCCTGCGGGAATCCTCACGGGTCTCTTGGGGAACCCATAAGCATCTCAGGAATCGGTCGCAATCTTGAGGAATCTTTGGGGACCCTGAGAAACCCGACGGGATCCCAAAGGCCACGGACACAATGCAATAAGCGATGGGTCATAGCCCCGGCAACGCGGACTCAATGTAAATTGCCACGGGTCCTGCACATTGGAGCGTGAGCGCAACGTAATTTGAAATGGATCGTGGTCGTGGGAATGCCCGGACAACGTTAGTTTACATGCATCGCGGCCCTGGGAGCGCGGGACCCGCGCAATTCGCAAAGATCGCGCCCTGGGGGCGCGGGCGCAGCGCTATTTACGAGAGACCCTTCAGCAACCTCCAGGATCCCGGCGGAATCCTGCCAGAACTCCTTTTCGGAATCATTTCGGACGCCTGCGGGAACTGCAGAAATCCTACAAGATGCGAAGTGCACGCGGGCAGAATCAGGAGGGCCCCCCAGAATCCTCACTAACAAGTCAAGAGAAAACGAACTCAAGCCTCTCCCTGAGCCCCTTGCTCAGGCCCACTGGAAACTAACTGCTCGCGGCGACGGCCCCTGGCGGCGAGGGGCAGACGGCGCGACGCCCGCGCCCTCGAGATCGCGCCGCCCACGGACATCAGCGCAACGCTGAGGCCCGCGGCCGCGCCCGGCATCGGGCAGATCTGGCGCGCCACGGTCGCGGAGGGTGGCGGTCGCTGAGCCGCGCTGAAAACTGGGGGGTCTGAGATCGTCTCCGCATAGAATCGCTCGACACAAAACAGCGCTGGGAGAAGGCGGCGGGGGGGGGGTTCTGGCCGCGGCCCTGGGGCAACTCGCCTGGACATCGCTCGGCGATGGACTGGCGGGGTTGCCCCGGCCCTCTTGCGCGGGTTCAGAACCACCCCCCCCGGCGCAGATGCGAGGAACCTGGCGGCGCCCTCTCGCCCCCGCATTTCCCCGCGCGCGGGGTTGGTGTTTTTGTTTTGGGGGGGCCCTCCTTCTCGCAGTGGGACTGACGCTGGGCAATTCTAGTCTGCGCTTCGCGGCCCCGCGCTCTAATCGCTCGAGGTGCCTGAACTTAACCGAGCTGCGCACCGCTCGCTTGCACCGCCGAGCAAAATAAAACGAGCTGCATGAAGCTTGCGCCGCGCAAGGGGCATCATACTCATATAACTTACGCCCCGCGACTGGCGCGACATCCTGGCACTCAGTGGATTGCTTCGCGCGGCGTGCCCCGCGTAAATATCGACGAGTTGCACCTGGGGGCAGCGCTCCCCCCGTCGCCTCGACGAGGGGCGAGGATTGCAAACCGTATGGAGGGCCGACTTCGGCGCGCTAGACTGACTCGAGCAGGGGCATGAAACTGCGCGCCTCAAGCGACTCCAGCGCGTCAGGCAAGGGCCCCGGGCCTCCGCGTTGCAGGGTGAAACGCGCGCGCTCAATCCGCAGGCGCCATTGGCCAGGCATCGCCGACCCCCGCGCGCGCGATCCGCTGCCGGACTGGCCGCTTACCCTGATCTGCAATCTCAGCCCTCGTCTCAGCGGCTGACCAAATTTCGATGGCCAGCGCCGAAGACGCCGATGGGCAGCGCCTTGAACGACCAAGCAAAAACGCCGACGCAGCTGCTCCGCGGCCCTCCCCCAGGGCGCATTCGGACGAAGTTCAGAGACCTGGCCGCGGCGAGGAGGGGCTGGGCAGCGGCGTCGACGCCGCCGCCTTCGCCGACATTTCGCGCGGATCAATCGGGCCCGCAAGCTGATCCGCTCCGTCGCCTCGCGCGTCGAGCGCCCGTCGTCCTTCTCGGAAAGCCGAGGCGCGAGCGCCGCAAGGAGCTGTCTGGTCGCCTCAGTCGGCGTCGCGCACAGAACCCAGTGGGCTTTCTCCGCGCGGTCCAATAAAGCGGGGGCGTCGTCGCCCAGCGCACTTCGCATCCGCGATCTTCTCGCAGCCCTCGAAAAACAAGCGCGCGACGCTGGCGATCTCGGGTCTCCGCGACAACGGCGCTCGCGGGGCTTGCCATGCGACGCGACGTCCTGGCGGCGCGCCTGAGAGTTGGGATGTCCGAGGGCACGCGTCCACGAGGGCACTTCTGCTGAACCCCCCCGGGCCGAAATGGCGCCGGGAGCTGACCGGGGAAACTCGGGCCCTTGACGGGGGGGGGTCCTGGGATTCCAGGGGGGCCCTGAAGTTCCATGCGGGCCCCCGAGAGACAGTTCTACTTCTTCGTTCTTCTCAACATATGCCCAGGGCGTTCTTGTGCCCTTTTCGACTCGGCACGTTGGAAATCGCGTCGCAGCGTTTTACGAAACGCGCCGGGGAAAACGATTCAATCGTTGCGTTGTGACTCGCGTTCTCCTGATGTTTTGCAGTGCAGTTGGCCGCGCTGTTAAACACTGCCGTCCACGACGTCCTCAGTTCCTTCTCCTGGCGCGCAGTCCTCGGCCCCCCCGCTCTCTCCGCCAGACTGCTCGCCGCCCTCGGAGCCCCTCCCGGCGCGTCGGGCCTCCGGGCCCGATGGCGGATCGCCCCTCTCGGGGCCGTCGCGCCAACGGGCCTGCTCCGGCAGAGGAGCGGCGGCAGGAACAAAGCGTCGGAGAGAAGACGGCGGGGGGGGGCGCGGCGCAATCCTCGCCCAGAAAGCATAGAACGCCATTCACTACTGATCTACGACGACAGGCCTAATCGCGGCGCTTCTGGGCCGCAAGCGGAGAACCACCGCTGCATTTGTTTAGAGCGATTCTAACTAGCCAATAAAACCAACACGCAAACCGGGGGGCCACGTGCCAAATACTGCGCAGGCGCGCCCGGCCGTCGCCCCCCCCCCCCCGCCCACCCACGGAACCGACGGCGACGTGTGGCGCTGCATTCCAGAATTCCTCGGGGCCAAGACGCGGGGACGATGACTCCTCTGCGAAGATGGGGAACCCCGAAGATTCGGAATCCTCACTTGCGCGCAAGGTTGAGGTGCTCACTGGGAGAACTGACTGCGCGAACGCAGCTTTTTTGTCTGGAGGCGTCGGCCCCCGCGGCGGCAGGCGCTCGGGCGCGCGGGGTGATGGCGCGCGCAGCGCCGCTATCTGACGCCATGCAACTGTTGTAACGCACAGCGATTTGCCGCTGATTGCGCGCGCGTGCAACGCGAGGACCAATCGCGAATGGGCCAACTTAGCGGGGGAAGACAACATCTCGACAGCAAGCGGTTTCACTTCTACTCAGAGATCTCACTCGTGAAATCCTATACAGCGACGCGAAACTCACGCTTCATCGCGCGTGCCGTCGCGCGCGCGCTATGCGAGACCAATGGCGGATTGTCATCGTGAGCTCGACAGCTGGATGATGGAAACCACTGGTGTCGCTCGCTTTCTTGAGGGGATCAGCGTGGAAAGCTGCTCGGCGACGCGCAATGGCGGCTTGCCATCGCGAGCCCAACAGCTGGATGAAGAAAAGAAAGCCATTGGTTCCACTCGCTT